TTAAATCGATAAATAAATAAATAAATAAATAAATTGACACAATTTAGATCATTTGGAGTTGAGTAATCTCAGGATCATTCATGGCTAAAAATGATACAACTTTCGGGCAGCAGGCGAAGATACACGTATTCAATTCTTTAAACCTCCCCTAGCGAAATTCGAACTCACACCTACGTACGATGCTAAAGGGCCCAAAAAAAACTACACCACAGACAGCAGTTTCATGTATTTGACCTTTGGGTTAGGGTAATGACTTCTGAAAGTACCAAATTCAGAAATAGGTCAACCATTCTTTGTAAGTTCCCGTCATTGCTTCTGGCGGGCCATATGATATTTTCCATTCTGTTCTGAACGTGACGTCACCATTACTCACCTGCTATCATGTTGGACAGAGTTTGTTTCCCTTTCAGGCAGTTTTGATTTCATGCACATTATCTGCACATTTAATCCATGACAAGAGATGGGTTTTAGATTAGAGTTCGCCGGCATCTGCGGTGTAGGGATTAAGCACTTTACTGTCTCACGAAAGAGACCAAGTTTTGATTTTCGAGTCCGTTGGGGAGGGGGGGGGGGATTTTTTATGAGTATTTCTGTCTTTCTTATCAAATGATGTATCCCTCTCTTCCCGGGCTAGCCCTGACAGGCAGGGTGGGAAGCTTGCCTCCTAAATGCTTTAAGTTGTGACGATGGGGGTGTAAAAAAAACTCAGACTAAAAAAAAAAAATCGAGTTAGCGTTCTACCTGCCACTCAGTGATAAAAGCAGCGTTGCACAAGAAACAAACCAAAAAGTTAGATATGGATGGTTTGCAATCTCCCCAATGGACTCAGTACATCAGGATATTACTTCCCCACGCTTTGTTAATGTGTGAGCCTATTTATTCTTGCATATTCACAACCACTACAACAATCACCATACCAACTACCAACAAAACTGCAACTATCACCACTACTACCATCAACCACCACCCCCCTAACAGCCAACACTACCACCACCAAAACCACTAAAACCAACACAACCACCACCATCATTTCCTCTACCACCATCATGCAAAACTCTTTTTACTAACAAACGATTTTCATATTTATACCAGACGAATACGACATAGATATCACTTGTGTCGAAATTGGAGGCAGAGCCATCGGTAATCTACGATACTCTGACCATACAGCCGTACTAGTTGACAACAGTTACTTCAAGAGCATGAAAAAATTTTTCCATTGAGTCAATACTGCTGGTAATTGATTAAGCAGGTCTGAAATTAAACGCTGAAAAGATCAAATTCATTCACATCACAGGAATAGAAAGTCAATACCTTCAACAGATTAAAACAAGTGGAATAAAGCAGTAAAGTGTAACAGACTTCAAATGAATATACTTAGTTTCGACGAAAACAGCGGCTTAGAGTACATACACACTGCCAGTTCTAACAAGTTGGGTGGAAGAGCTAACTTTTTCCTCCTATGCCATAAAAGCTGATATTTCCTCCCCTATATATAAGTGCATATAAACTTTCCTCCCCCATACGAAATTTTTTTAAAACTTTTTTTTAAAATTGTAATGTTTACAAATATAAACAAATGTTAATGTTTCCTTTTCTTAGTGCCGCTGGCCTCACTTACGCCGAGCGTGTTGATGAGAGCGTGGGAAATGTTTACAAGAGTGGAGGGAAAGGTTATAAATGTGTAAAAATACGTCATAAATATATAACAATTATACCTCGCAGTGTTCCTTAATCAAGGGAGGTTCTAGAACGTAACCAGGCCATAAGCTCCACAGAGAATACTAAACTGTATGAT